GTCATAAAAACAGAGACAAAAGCAAAACCCATGCATCGAGTCAAAAAGATCCAGTGTTCAACATCCTAAACTGGAAACAATGTATTAAAAATATATCTGCGCCAGCCTAATAGATAAAAATGTTATTTTATTTATTTCTTATGATTTTTTTTATTGAATGGGTTAACCTGCATAACATTTGTATCTAAAATTATTTCTTTGTTTTCTTATATTGGTAAATGTATTTTTTCATCAATCTATTTTTTCATTTAGGTTAAAATTAAAGTAGTTGCAGTATTAGGCAACCTTTATATATATGTACTATACTTTTAAATTATTTAAAGTTTAAGTTGCATTTAAAATGAGATTATTCTCAAAGGCAGGTTTCACAAATTCCAAAATCACAAATTCTGGCCAGAAAGATATTCCGGTACATCTCTTCTTGTAAATATCTTATTCATGGTTATCTTCATCAGCTAATTCCATTTCACTGCCATTACTAATGTTTGATAACATGGTTATTCATGTAAACACTGCTACTTGGGGGGAAATCTTAAAAAGATATTCTTAATCGTTTTTATTTTCTTGTGATAGCCTGTTAGTGCAAGCTGTTTTCTTGTTTAGTTCCAGTTGAACACATTCTTTTATTTTGAACAATAGAGCAGCCAGATGACTATGGGCTGATACTAGTCTGGTTATGCAGAAGCAATTACCAATCAAAATCCAGCTTTTTTTATGTAGTGCAACCCTCACGCTGTAATAATCCTGTGCTTATCCTTGTTGTTGACTTTGCAGATCCTGTAAATATTAATTTGTTAAAATAAAAATTATTCAAACAAAGTCAAACTTAAGTAAGCTTTTATAAGCTTTACATAAAATGTAAAGCTTATAAAATATTGAATAAAAAATGTTTTTTTATTCAATACTTTATATACTATTTTTATAAATATTTAACCATAGTTTTAAAATAACTGTATTCAGTGTACTTACTTATATTACAATTAAAAAAATCATGAAAATGCCATGAAATAAAGAAGTTGTATGCTTCTAAAGACTTATATGCTCTTATATTCTCTAAAGGTGAAAGGACTGGGTGTATCAATACAAAATAGTTTATATCGCCAAATAATTTATTAGGAATCATAACAATGTTGTTTTCCCAGTCATCATTAGAAAATAGATCTGGCAAAACAGATCCATTTCCCTAAGTTAATTTTTCATTTTATTATACTTGATCTTTATTATTAAAGGGATCCCTAAGTGCCAAAACAAGTTGTGCTCATATCATAGATAAACATTAGAAAAAAAGTTTAAAGTTAATTAAACTTTCCAAAACAAATTATTGAATGAGATATTAACAAAAGCATTTGTTGTTTTGCTATTATACTTCCGGTTGAGAGCCTAATTTTAGGCTCTCAAATCTGCATAGTTTTTTCCGTTAAAAAAACAACTGGTTTCAAAAATAAATGTTCTTGCTCAATGCAGAGTTTTTTAAACCAGATTAAGTTTTCCCATTTATATTTAGTCTGCGTTGGTTATAAAAATGTTTGCTGTGGCAAGTTTTTGTTTTTTGTTCAATGTATTGTGAAATGTTTGAGTTAGAATAAACTAGCATAATAAAAATAGTAATTAAGTGAAGCGAACTTTAAATACACAAAATGAATATTTTTCTTAGTAAAGAAGTAATCAATTTTTTTATATACACCACTAAGTACAATATAATCCAACATAAAAATCTTTACTTTTTAAAAGAAATTCAGGAAATCGGTTTAAAAATTTTATACATATTTTTAACTAATAAATAATTTATATTTCTAATTCAAAAAAACATTTTTTAAAATGATTAGTATATTTCTGTCAGATATATATAAAATTAAAATTAAAAATTTGAATCTTATATTTTTGTTTAACTGCCAAAGGGGTTAAACGAAAATATAAGATTCATTTTAAACTTAATTTAAGTTTTTTGAAAGAAACTTTTTTTATTGACGTCAAATATAAGCGCATTAATCAGACCAGATTTAAAAAAAAAAAAAATAGTCAAAGAGCAAGAACTTTTCTTCGCGAGAAATAAAATGGCGTTAAAAATTAAGAAGTTTTTTGTTAATATCTCATTCAATAATTTGTTTTGGAAAGTTTAATTAACTTGTAACTTATTTTCTAATGTTTATCTATGATATAAACAAAACTTATCTTGGTACTTGGGGATTCCTTTAAGAGTTTGAAAGTATTTTGATTTCCTCCACACAGTTTCTTATTTTAACTTTCTTTATATAATTAATATTATAATATATAGAATTTTTAAATTAATTATTCTAAAAAATAATTGACAACTGTATTTATATATCAGCAGAAAAAATGTCATGCTTTTGCACTTATATATCAATGTTTTTTTGTACTGATAAAACCAATTTGGACTGGGTAAGAATAACAAAACTGACAAATTTTTTTTTTTTAATTTATCTATAGTTATTGATCTTTTTTTTGAGGAAAACTATATTGCTATTAGTTAATACCAATATAGGTTTAATTTTTTTTTCTTTTTTAAATAACACAGGGACATTCATCGATAGCCATATGTTTGTCTAAAATAATAAAATTAGATAAAGTAATAACTTTTCGTCATGACCAATAACTGAGTCCACTCATGTAAATGTTGCGGCATCTAGCAGATGGCGCAATATTTTTTTGCCAGTTTTCTTGATTGAATATTCTATCCATTTTTTTAAGTTTATCTAGATTTTTAGCTTGCCATATTTTGTTGAACCCCAATCTTTTAAGTTCAGACCAAAAATCTTCAATTGGTTGCAATTCTGGTACATAAACAACGTTATGCCCTTTAAAAAAAAAAATCAAAATTTTTTGGTTTTACATAGTCTTTTATATGTTCTTGTACGTGAATAATCAGCCCGAAAAATTTTACTCTCATTTTTATCATATTTTACAATGAATTTCTCTAATCTGAAAAGGCATTTTAAATGGTGGTCGACCCAAATTCTGTTTTGGTATTGGTTTCGGCCAAAATTTCAATTTGAGCCGAAAACAAAAATTCGGTTTCTGTACTTGTTATAAATTCGGTAAAATGCAAAATTTCGATTGAAAAACATACCAAAAACTGAAAAATTTATAAGATTTTAAAATTTTATCTAATTTAGAAAATCAGTTATTTTTGAGAACTCTCACAAAATATTTTGAGAATGTTTAGAAAATTTAATTTCAAAAAATACCTCAAAAAAATCTTGTTTTCACAGAAAATCTGCCAGTTGTTAACCTTTGCAATTAACTTATATCGCCAACTTATGTATTAAATTTAAATTTGTGATACACGTGTAATCAATTCTAACATAATACGAGCATAAAAAAATAACAAACGTAAAATTGCATTTTTTAAAAGAAGTTTTTCTAATGAAATTAATTTTAACTAGTCGAAATGTCAGTTTCGATAAAATATTTGCCGAAATGTCTGTTTTGATTTTGGCACTGAACTAGAGTTTCCGAAATTTCGGTTTATTTCAATTTTTGCTTTTTTCTGTTTCAGTTGATCACTAATTTTAAAACATACACGTTTTCATTGACTGTTAGGCCTGATAGAGCTATGTAATGTTCCTTTTCAGAGATAGCTTTTGTTAAGAATGCAATACAAACAAGTGTTTTTAGGTCAAATTTGTCTTTTCAACCTTACATCATTTGATGCTTCATTTATGTGAAAAGACTAGAATTTCATGTGAAAAGACAGTGTTTCCATAAATATTGGTGTTGCTTAAATAAAAGTATGCTTCATTGTTGATAACAATAATTTTTTTCTGAAAAATAAAAATTAAGTACTATAGGACCATAGTTGGAAGTGATTGCAAAAAAAGATCTTTATCTTTTTTTGCAACCACTTCCAACTATGGTCCTATATTGTTCTGCTTTTTTTTTAACATATTGTACATTTTGCATTGCTTAATTGAGAATAAATTTAAAGTGGTTGTTTGATATGGAGCCCATTTACCAATATCAAAATATGGAACATGTAATTATGCGACTAGTTATCAGCTCCAAAAATGTTATTATTGACAAAAAGTTTTACAATACTATGCAGGGTCCCACAAGTCTTAGTTTTGAATCCTTTGTTTTTTTTAAATTATATTTTAATTAATATGCTAATTAATAAAGCATCAAAGACTTTAATATTTAATGTCATGTTTACTCTAATGTTTACTTATAACTTATATGCTAACAATAACATTAGCTTCTCTTTCAAATAAGAAACATGAAACTGGAACAAATATTAAATTAGTTTATTGCCAACAGACTCAAGTACTATTAAAGTTTTCCTTATTTTATTCTAAACGAAAGTTTTAATATACTCCTGCATCTTTACCAACATTATTTATAAACGATTTCAAAAATAAGCATTTTTTTAGAAACAAGTTCTTGGTGTTTAAATTGGTAAAAATTAGAGAGATCATAGTAAATATATAAGCAATATAATTGCAAGAGATATTGATATCATACATAAAATATATCATCTCAATATCATCTCAATTATATTTTTTTACCAGTTATAGGTAACTATAGGTAATGTAAATATATATATTTTTTTCAGGTCTCTTGTCTTGTAATTATTTTCTCTTTTGAAGTATATTTTTAGTTTATTATTTTGTAATTTATCCTTTTATTGGAAATCAATTATAATTACTCAACAAAAATATTAAATATAATACATAATAATATCTTACAATAATTTATTTCACACATTAGTAATTTTTATTAATGATATTTGTTTAAATCATAACAATTGCTATGCACTACAATTAAAATATTATAAAGCACTTTTCTGTTTTTTCGTAAAAAAACAGAAAAGTGATTAGTATATTGTAATTGTTTTTTTTATTTATATAATATATATTATATAAATAAAAAGAATATTGCTTTTTTAATGTCATAACAATCATATTTGTTTAATAATTTTTTTTTTATTTAAAGAATTTTACCATATTTTCACTTGGAAATAAAACTTATGAACATTGTTTAAGGTTTAAACTTTACCGTGTTTTCACTTGGAAATAAAACCTATGAACATTATCAATTTTTCGGAAGATATGTTGACAAACGTCTAGAAGAGTTAGGTGGAAATCGTGTTGTTGACAGAGGGGAAGGAGATGACGACTCAAACATTGAAGAAGATTTTTTAATATGGAGAGATAAATTTTGGGAAAGTGTGTGCAATTTTTATGGTTGCAAAAATATTGGACTTTCACAAACTGCATCAAGAGATTTTAAACTTGAGGTAAGAAAATAAAATTTGCTATTTTTATGCAAAGTCTTGAATTGTAGTCATTTATTGTAAACTTTGCTACTTGTCTTATACTTTTAATCAAAAGAGTTCAAACTGAAGAAAAAACTTTTAATAAATAAAAACTTTGTTTTTAGTAGTAGTATTTTTTGCTGTAATATTGCATACTATGACAGTGAGTGTCTCCTTTCCAATTGCTCCATATCGATCATTGTTAAATCTATTTCAGCTTTGAGTTTATCATTATTTTCTGCTTGAACTATTTTTTTCAAGTTGTTCTATATATTTGCTGATCTGTTTGTTAAAAATTGTATTTTGGGTTGAAATTTCTTGTGTTCTTCTGCTATTTAAGAATACTGGTTTTTTCAAAAGTTTTACTTTTTCAAATTCATTAAAAATTTTAAATAACTGTATTAGATCTCTTTTCTTCATGTTTCATAAGTTGTAATGTTTAATATTTTTAATTTTTCTTCATATGAAATTTTTTTAAAGACTTGTAGTAATCTTGTTACTCTGTGTTGTCTTCTTTACACGACTTCAATATCACCTTTTAGGTATGGTGACCATACTGGTTCTGTAAATTCTATTACTTGTCTGATGAATGTGAGATATAGTGTTGTAAGCATTTTAAAGTCTATATAGCTGAAATATTTTATTTTTATCATACCTATTATGGTATTAGCTTTTGATTTATACATATCTATATGGATTTTCCATTTTCATTTGTTTGAGAAATGTAAACCTAAATCACTTTCTAGTTTGTGTTCATTTATATATACCATAAATAATAAATCTCCTAAAACTGATCCTTGAGGCATGTTGCCAAGAACTAACATCCATGTAGAAAAAATATTTTTAGTTTTTACTTATTGTTTTCTACCACTTAAAAACGCTTTAATCCATTTTACCAGCTTCCCAGTTACAGTTTGACAAGTTGTTTTTTATTAGGAACTGAATAAAAGGCTTTTGCAAAATCCAAATAAATAACATCAAGTGGGTCACCGTTTGACAGGGCAAATAAGATAAAGTCTAATTTTTCAAGCAAATTTGTAGTGTTACATTTTGCTCTGATAAACCCATGCTGACTTTCCAATACTAGATTATTTAAATACAGATCATTCTATAATTTTTTAAAACTATTTTAAGTATTTTGTATTGGTGTAACTACTGGCTTTAAAGGCATCCCCAAGTGTTGAGACAAGTTATGTTCGTATCATAGATAAATATTAGAAAATAAGTTACAAGTTAATTAAACTTTCCAAAACAAATTATTGAATGAGATATTAACAAAAAACTTCTTAATTTTTAATGTCATTTTTTTTTTCTTGCAAAGGAAAGTTCTTGCTCTTTGACAAATTTTTTTTAAAAAATCCAGTCTGATTAATGCGCTTATATTTGACTTCAACAAAAAAAATTAAAAAAAAAAAAAAATAAATCAATTTTAAAATGCAGGGGTGTCTCCCTTTGGCAGTTTAACGAAAATGTAAGATTCAAGTTTTTAATTTTAATTTTTTATATATCTGCAAGAAATATATTAATTATTTTAAAAACGGTTTCTTGAATTAAAAGTATAAATTATTTATTAGTTAAAAGTATGTATAAAATTTTTAAAACGGTTTCCTGAATTTATTAAAAAAATAAAGATTTTTAAATCCTTCAAAATTTAACTATGTTGGATTCTTGTCATGATAAGAAGCCAACTCTCTCTGATTGCTTGGAGGGGGCATTTGAAAAGGGTCTCACTTCTGCTACAGCTTAGGGATCACAGTGGCTGGTGAACATTTTTTTAGATAAAACTCAATTTTTTTCAGTCTATTGTCATCGCAATAATTTAGACCTTCCTATATTTATGAAGGGTAATGTACTCGATGAGTCATCTACCCTTCATCTTCTAGGATTAACTCTTCTGATCTTTCTTGGAAACCATATATCAAATCTGTTTCTAAATTAGCATCTGCTAAAGTTGCATCTCTTTATCGAGGTTGACGCTTTCTTACTCCTTATTCTATTCTCTAATCTCTAATCCGGCCTTGCATGGAATATTGTTGCCATATCTGGGGCGGATCTTCTAATGATGCCCTTTCTCTTTTAGACAAGGTGCAAAAAAGCATTGTAAACATTGTTGGCCCTGGTCTTGCAGCCAACCTTCAACCATTATCACATCGCCTTAATGTTGCTTCTCTTTCTCTTTTTTACAAATACTATAATGGGCACTGCTCTAAAGAGATAGCGTCTCTTGTGCATCTACTAAAATTCACTCTCGTGTTACTCGTCATTCAGTTAAGTCTCATCCTTTTTTTGTTACTGTTCCTAAGTGCTCCAAAAACTCTTATTTGTCTAGTTTTTTTCTTCGAACATCAGTTCTTTGGAATTTGCTTCCTTCATCTTGCTTTCCTGATTCATATAATTTGTAAATTTTTTAAGTCGTCTGTCAATCTTTATCTTGCTCTATAATCGTTATCTATTCTCTTTAAGTAATTTCTAAAATTAAGAAGTGGTTGCTTGCAGCTTTTTGGAAGCAAAGATGTTTGAAAAATATTGTACTTAGTGTTGTATATCAAAAAATTGATTACTTATTTAAGACAAATATTCATTTTGTGTATTTAAAGTTCACTTAATTACTACTTTTATTATGCTAGTTTATTCTAACTCAAACATTTCACAATACATTGAACAAAAAACAAAAACTTGCTACAGCAAACATTTTTATAACCAACGCAGACTAAATATGAAGGGGAAAACCCAATCTGATTGTGTAAAACTGAACTGAGTTTAAAAAACTCTGCAGTGAGCAAGAACATTTATTATTGAAACCAGATGTTTTTTTTAAAGAAAAAAAATATGCAGATTTGAGAATCTAAAATTAGGCTCTCAACTGGAGGTATAATAGCAAAACAACAAATGCTTTTGTTAATATCTCATTCAATAATTTGTTTTAAAAAATTTAATTAACTTTTTTTCTAATGTTTATCTATGATATGAACACAACTTGTCTCAGCATTTGGGGATCCCTTTATGTTTTTTGTCTTTCTTTTTGTATAGCAGACATACGTTTGCTGATAGCCATTGTTTTGGAAGTTTACTAGTCTTAATTGATTTTTTGAATATCAGTCTAATATAGGCACAGATATTTCTTCAATCCTGTGATTTTATTGCTCTTATTGATGTAACTTTCTAAAAAAAACTTTTGGATTGTTTTAAGGTACTTCAACTGTGTTCTTTTCTAATTAAATTTAAATTTGTTTGACTTTAGCTGTTACTTGTTTTTTAATTTGTTTATATTCTCTTACTGAAGTTTTGTTTAGCCATTTTGTTGCACAGTTTGTATACCTCATTAAAACAACTTATCAAAAAAGTTCTTTTTTGATAAGTTGTTTTAATTCAATGTTTATACATGATGTACTTTTTTATTTTTCCTGTTTGTGGTTTTTTTTGTGAACTTGTTGCAAAGGCTGCTTAAGTATAATTAATGAAAGAAAATACATTATTTGAACTGGGTAGTCTCTCAAATAATTGTTCCAGTCGACACCTGCTGTATCATTTGTCATTTTTTCATACTCAGCTTTTCCGAATTTGAAAATCTAGTTAATTTCAATATTCTGTCAAGTGTCAGCTAAAATGAAATCAAAATATCAGTCTAATATAGATGATGCCCAATTGAAATACTACCTATGGTATTGATCTTTCAAAATTCTTTATGCAGTCTGATTCAGTTGTGAAAATGAAATCTTTAATATTGTTTGATATAAAATCTGTTTTACTGAAAAGTTGGTATTTTTGTTTATATGTTTGTATAAAAAATTGTATGAATGTTGAATAAGTTATTAATTGTTTGTTAATAATTAAAATCATTGAATTGATTCATTCATTGAACTGATTGAGTTAATACTGTTATCTATTAGCGTAGCATGCCTGACCATATCTGTCTGTTAGTTATCTATATCCATATCCATTTTCTACTAAGATAATTCTCTTTTCTAATAAGATTTCTACTAAGATAATTCCCTTTTCTACTTAGGATTTCTACTAAGATAATTCCTTTTCTACTAAGATTTCTACTAAGATAATTTCCTTTTCTACTAAGATTTCTACTGAGATAATTCCCTTTAAACTCTTTAAAATCTTAGGAAAACTTACTTAAAATTAAAACAAAATCATCAGAAAAACAGTTTTTCACTGATTTCTTTTAAAATCTTTTGTTATATTTTTGTAGATTCCGTTGGTTTATTCGAAAAAATGTTAAAATAAACCTAAGGGAAGCGAAGGAACCTAAGTTTTTTACAATAAAGCGCCTTTTTCAGTACTAAAACTAAATATTGAAAAATAAGATAAAAGCAAAAAAACAGTTTTTCACTGATTTCTTTTGAAATCTTTTGTCATATTTTTGTAGATTGTGTTAGTTTACTCAAGAAAATCAAGAAAAAAAAATGTTAAAATAAACCTGAGGCAAGCAAAGAAACCAAAGCTTTTTGCGACAAAACGCTTTTTTCAGAACATATACATTAGGGTGAAGTAAAAACAACTTTTTTTAGAAATTCATATTTTCTCCCTGATTTCTATAATAATTATAAGAAAACTAAAAAAATGAGACCAAGATGAGCAAAATTTGACAAGAACTACCCCCAGCAACAATTTTTGATCAATATTACTTATTATTGAAAGCGCAAACTTAAAAATTTTTTTAACTATTTTTTTTGAAGAAGCTTTGAAGTTATAACATAAAAGGTATGATTCTATTTTCCATTAGTATTATGACCAAAATACTCACTTTTGCATTGAAAAGGTTAATCTAATACTTTTAACTCATTTAAAAGATATTTTTTGAAATAAAAAAGTTAATATTTAGCATATAATAAAATCCGCGCTCTACTACTTTCTTGATTATAATACTTGTTATCATTTTGTCAGTAATAATAATTATCATCATTTATATATTTTGAGTTTTGTTATAAATTACAGTAAATAAAATGTTAAGATCTAAAACAGATCATCTA